CCCCCCCCCCCCCCCCCTCCCCAGGGCTTTTGACCCCGGCACTATTGTATTTTCGGTGGTATGCTTCCCCGATCTTTGAAAATGTAGCGTTTCTTCCCCCTCAATTGTTCGCTCGCCCCCTGAGGCATTCTCAAGGATATTGCAGTATATGTCTGCCGTCTGCACAGAACTCGGGCAAACCCAGAAATACAAGCTCAACCTCAGTACATCGGCTTGAGCCCCGTCTCGGATGTCGGGCGGTCTGCATCTCATTTTCGATGTTTTGTATGTGCTGTTTTTCCTGTCACAAACTAGTACATGTAAATGTTGGTCGTTGCAATATTTTCGGCTTGATTTTGTGCGAGAACGTGGGAGCCTTCCCCTCAGAAGCCATGTAAATTAAATGCAGCAACCGAATTTTTCGATGTATCATATCGATTTATCTTATCGATATCGATATCGATATTGGATATCGAAAACATTTGAGCTTTTCGATATTTCGATATTTCGATATTTCGATATCGATATGATAAATCGATAAATACTCCACGGAACCCCTGATGTTTCACACGGAACCCCCGCGACTGCACACCACACAGCACACAGCAGCTGCACGCAGTGAAATGCGCGCATTCAACGAAGTAGCTGCACCTCCGTATTCTCATCATTGTGCCATATATTTCTCATTGTTGTGAGAGTTTGGCTTTTCTGCGACAGCAACCTTGCTTTTTTTGATACGGCGTGCGATACCGCTGAGCTTTCTTGAAGCAGTAGCGTAGAATAATCAACTAAGTGTACATGGACTATTACCCACATAGTCTACATATTGTTTTTCAAGCAGTTGGCCATGCACTGACGGCAGGTTTCGGAGGTCTATCTTCGGGTAATTTTGATGGGAAATGAGGCGAAATTACTCCAATTGTTTTTGCCTCCGGCGGCGCCTCCAGCGGGGCCCCCTCACCAGCCGGAAGGGGGCGTTTGGGCTCGCACAGCGAGCTTCGGAGCCTTCGCGCGTCAGCTCGCTGTGCTCGCCGGCTCGCTTTGTCGATATCGATATCGAAATCGAACACTTCACAGGCGATATCGTATCGAATGCATTTATTGAATCGATATCCAACACTAGCGTGGACAAAACACACAAATTCCCGTTGGTAGTCTATGCAACCTGCATCAAGGTATGTTGTATGTTTTCTTGGAATCACCGCCTACACTACTGTACTATACGTAGTGTACTCGGAGAGCTCCGTTTAGGCCCCTCGCACACGTTGGACTTGGGCCGGATTCATGCACTGGAAAGAGGTACCCAGCGCGCTACCGCCCGTGCCACGTGGAATTCATTCATACACTGCCTGAATCACAAGGGACATGGGCTGGGCTCATGCGCTGAACTTGATAGACGTAGATTATGTACCCATTTGCGTCTGTCCGTGCCACATGTCGATGCGTTGCACAACCACTGCCTCCCCGAAGTGACTTCCATTTCTTGATTATACGCATCAAGTCTATGAAATGATTGGTGTGGCCGTAGTTACCTGAGAGATGACTGTGAAATTCGAGTTGCGCTGAGTGACGGTCGAGCCGACGTTGTCCTTCACGAGCTCCGCCGCTAGTGGCACTTTGGTGACATCGCGAACGTCTCTGGCAATATGACCTGGTTGTTCGTCTGCCATACCGCCGTGTCCGTGTCCACAAACACAACACGCCTGCACTCGTATGGCTGCTCCTGGGCGTGCTGTGGTGTGTTGCCTGTGTGGTACGATACAGATGGATCGGTGATCAGTGAATCCAAAACGCGGCGAATCAAGTGCCGATTCGCTGGAGTTCACGATACAACAGTTGGCTTTTTGGTTCTCTTTATATTTATGCCGCTTTGCTGCCCCCAGCTGCCCCTTGCCCTCCAGCGCTTGTTCTCCGTGCCTGAGCGCCAGGTTCATTCGCGCAAACACCGGATCAGGCGGAGGGCATCATGGAAACTTTCGCTGTGGACGGTTTTCCTGATGCAAAGCTCATGTTGGCGTTGTTTACGAACGTCAAGAACGCTGCAGACCTCAAGAGGAAGTATTTGAATCGCATCGCCCTTCTGGACGCAGGTAATAAAGGACAGGAGGATACTTGCTGCTGCTGTAGACTTGTGCCACCTGGCTAGATAAAAGTCGATATACAGCGATGAAAGAGCCTTACCTATGGTTATTACCGGAAAATAGAACCTTTTTCACATATGCATCGCAGCGGCGCGAGATCGCACTTCGTAGACGTAATGAAACGAGTTAGTCTGTGACCTGCTGACACCGATGCCGCTCCTACAGTTCGTAGTGGGCCGAGGACTCGCGCAGTATGGATAAGAGAACTGTTTCACCAGCATGCAGTGGGGGCAAACATGGGGGGTGCGTGCTGGCAGTCCTGGCTGGTTTAGAGCAATTATATATAATCTTATGGGCGGGGTGTCGTACAATGTACAGCGTGGAAAACTCGGCGTGCCCCTGAACATGCTGGCGGTCATTCGCCACTTCCACGAGGGCATGAGGGCGCGCGTCCGAACGGACGACGGGCAGTACTCGGAATGGTTCGACGTGAGCCAAGGCCTCCGACAGGGATGCAACCTGGCCCCGCTGCTGTTCAACGCCTTCTTTGCCGCGATGCTCCTGGTCGCAGTGGCCGAGTTCGACAAGGACCCCAAGGTGACGGCGGACATGGTCAAGATCGGGACACAAGTGGAGTACACGGGCAAGAAGGGCAGGTCGGCGGGGAAGAAGACGACGGTGGTGACGGACGCGGAGGCCTTGTGGGCCATGCTCTACGCTGACGACGCGGCCATCGTCTCGCGCTCGCCGGAGAGTCTCGAGAAGATGATGTCGGTCATCGTGCGCGTGGCCGGCCTGTTCGGACTGATGGTATCGGAGCCAAAGACAGAGATCACGTGCATGCTGCCGAAAGGGATCGAGGAACGCCCGTTCACGGTCAGCGCCGCCGGCCAGACGTACAAGCAGACAGATCGGTT